GCCATGTTGAACATCCAGTGGTCAGTATGAGAGAATTGTACTCAAAGCACCAAATTTTAACTGCTCTAACACAAGATACACAAATTTGCATGGTCCTGTCAAGCAGACAAAAACATGAACATGATGAATAGGACATGTGGCTTTGCATGGTTAAATGACATACAGCTGTTATCACTTAGGGTGTACTCACTTTTGTTGCCAGCTATTTTGACAATAATGGCTGTATGTTGAGTTATTTTCAGAGGACAGTAAATCTGTACTGCTATACAAGCTGCACATTGACTACTCTAAAATATATCCAAGTTTCATTTCTATAGTATTGTCCCTTGAGAAGATATACTAAAATGGTTGCTGAAAAGTGAGGAGTGTACTCCCTATATACGATACGTATGTATATATATCAGGGCTGTCAGTCGATTAAAACTTTTAATCGAATTAACTACATGGTGCGGCGATTAATTAATCTAATTATTCGCAAACTAAATTTGGCTGTGAAAATACCCACAAAAGATTATCTAAAGCTATTATTGTGTTAAATGAAAAAGTAGCAAGTAGACGTTACAAATAGTAGCTTTAGAAATAAATATTCTATTTGATTTAGCATAAAATGTATTACACATAAATGTTTAGGCTACAACGGCCTAACGTAAACTATGGAACATAAAAGAAGATCATTTGAGAAGAATCTCAGCAATGAAAGTCATTGGTAACCAAAACAGTTTTGTTACCAACAGTCTTCAAAATACCACCTTTTATGTTGCGCAAAAAAGTAAGTCGTTCAGGTTTGAAACAACATGAGGGTGAGGAAATGATGATAGATTTAAAAATAAAATGGTGAACTATCACTTTAATGTTATTTATGTATTTTTTTGTAGCCTAAATGAAATGATACTCTAAAGAAGAAACTAAAACTGCCAGCAGGTGGTGGCAGTAAATGTCTTAATTTGATTCGTTCAAACGGCTGATTCATTCATGAATGAAGTAAACGGCTCTCTCTATGAATGGGCCATTGAATCATTGGTTCACACGATTCGTTCAAAAAGAGGATTCATTTCAGAAACTAAGCACTGCTATTGCTCACAGATGCACAACAGTTTTGTCGTGGTCTTATAGGTAATATTTTCGTTGGCAAAACTGAGCAAAAACACACAATATTGTGTTTAAAATATAACACAATATTAACTTCGTATTTTAATGAACTGTTTGTGTTTTGCTGCTGTGATCACTTATCATATGATATAAATATGAGACTCATACAGGGGCATTTTTGGCCCAATATCTTGAATTTTAGGGCATACCTGCATTTGTGGAGTTGTTGCCCTGCATCATATTTGTCATCAGTCAACTGTATGGACTGTAAGATGATGTACAGGTCTGGGGGCGGGGCCAGTGTGTTAACTGTGTTAAAATATTTTAATTGTGTTATTTCTTTCATAGCAATTTAATTAAGTTTACGCGTTAAACTGACAGCCCTAATATTCCAGACTTTCTGGAGTATCAGTAGTACAAAGTACTGGCTCCTTTGCATGTCAAAAATTGCATTGTAGCCACTGTTGAGCATGTGAACGCAATGACCATGTTTTTTCTCAATACTATGGAGCTAGCACTTTCATATATATAATTAATTGTCATTAAAGCTATAGGTGAAAAAATATATTTAATATTTGTGTTTAGCAAGTGTATGTACGTTGTAATCTTATTTATTTCCCTTGCAGGCTAAATGATTGTGGCTTAACAGACAGAAGCTGTTCAGCTCTGACTACAGTTCTTGGATCAGATACCAATCTGAAAGAGCTGAACATGAACAATAATAATCTGCAGGATTCAGGAGTGAAGCTTATCTGCACTGGTCTGGAAAATATAAGGTGTAAATTAGAGATACTGAGGTAAGTTGTCTGAATAGAGAGAAAAAAATATATATATGCAAGGTGAAATGCAGACTTTGATAATGAACAGACTGTATGTTGTGCACAGAGATACTCTTAGATTTATGCCATGGTGTTCTTTTCTGATTTGATCTGTCATTGACTTTGTCCTAAACTAATGTGTTCTGCTATACCATTTACACAATGTGTTTGGTTATGTTTAAGGGGGAGTAACTGAAATAACTTATATTTGATGGTGATCTCATGTAAATCTGTTATTTGTAAAAGGTCACGTGTATTTATTTCCATATTGTATAAAGGCTCATACTGACAGCAAGCATCTGGTAAACTTCACAGGTTTCACTGAAAGAGCGCAAACTCGAGGGAGCACAGTAATTCTGACTAAAATAGTTTATTTTGATTAAGTATTTGTTGTTGACAATTTTAGGTTAAAATTGTACATGTTGCACAATTAATGTTTTTGAGTACAATAACTACAAAGGGACTATAGTATGTATTTGGATTTAGAAATCTGTATAGACATAGATCAGGTGTATTCAATTAAAGTTCCAAGAGGTCCAGTCTCTATATTTCCTTCCCGGCGGAGGTCTAGACAATACGTTTTTGGAGTAGTTATATACATTTTCATCTGGAAAACAGTTGAAAACAGTTTACTTTGTAAAAGGAAAAAAATAACCTACACATTCAAAATAGTCATCACAGATGAGGATATTGGGTCATGAGACCCAAAGCTGTGGTTTCTGAGAATGAAAAATATATATACAGTGGGGCAAAAAAGTATTTAGTCAGCCACCAATTGTGCAAGTTCTCACACTTAAAAAAATGAGAGAGGCCTGTAATTTTCATCATAGGTATACCTCAACTATGAGAGACAAAATGAGAAAAAAAAAATCCAGAAAATCACATTGTAGGATTTTTAAAGAATTAATTGGTAAATTCCTCGGTAAAATAAGTATTTGGTCACCTACAAACAAGCAAGATTTATTTTATACATTTTTTTTAAAAAGCCCTCAAGTTGTGTTTGGGTCATTTTGACCTGGAGAGAATTTTCTTTCTCTCGAAAATGCTACTTAATGTTATTGCATTGGACTAAGATTTACTGACTTTGTTCTTCACACAGGGCATAACTACTTCCACCGCAAAATTTTTTAATTTTCGTTAAACATTTTTTTATGTTATTCAACCTTGTTACTCTTGTGGTGTTCCCGTTAAAAAATGTCCGGTCTACAAAAATAGCTTATAAATCTATTGTTATGAAATATTATCTCCAAATATTGGTATACATCTTTTTGTCAGATTGTTTTCTTTAAAAAAAAAAGTAGGACTGGTTTTGTATTTATTTTTGGAACTGATTTTTTGAAGGCCTCATTAATCTGAGTTTACGTACTTTTGAGTGATAAAAGCATTATTTGTGGATAATTTTGTCAATATATATATATTTAAAAAATGCACTGTTTTTCACACTAGCATGCTCTAATGTTTAACCAAGAAATTTGGTTTGAAATGCTTGTATCTTGTAAAAAACAATAGCACAAAAAAACACTTGTAGTGTTCCTGGTCAAAAAATTACCGGCCCACAAAAAAATAGCTTATAAAGCTATTGTTGTGCTATATTTTCACCAAAAATGGGATTCAATCTTTTTGTCAACTAGTTTTTTTTTCAATTAGGACTGGTTTTGTATGTAATTTTGATATTGACTGATTGTAGGCCTTATTGATCTTAGCTTTCTTGGTCAAAAATGAAGAAAGTGTTCAATGGAGAAAAACAATATTTATGAACAAATTATTGACAGAACTATAAGACTATCAGAGGAAAAAATAAAGACAATAGTTACACCCCATTTTTTCATAAAGAACAAACAAAATTGTAATTAGTAGAGTTTTATTTCTGAAACAAATCAAACTAATAAAAAATAAACAGCTTACATACCAAACTCTTTCATTCAAAACTACACCATCATTGCTTAAATAAAGTTTCAATACACTACTAGTTTAAAATCACAGTATAACTTAATTTGTGTAAGCCTATGAAACACACCTATATATCTCGTAATTACAGTTTAATTTACATTAAATACTAGCTTCAATGACAGCCCCACTTGGCGCATGCGCATTAAAATCCAATACTGCGCATCTTCGTCAAACATCCAATACGTATTGGATCTGATCCAGCTACGTCATCATGCTGCAGGCTGCAGCGAGGACAGACTCAAACAAAGGGGAAACTGGAGGCGGCCCATTCAAACCAGCGCAGATTCGGCTACACAAGGAGCTTAAAATATCATCTTATTGTGATGTTTGGCCAGAATCGACGTAATACAGCGCATCGACGCATATCCGCTGCCACTGCCAGACAAAAAAAAAAGATGACAGCTGTGGTTAAACGCGAGCGGACTGGACAGAAACGAACGTCAAAAATGCTCGCGTTTGCAGCGCACACTTCTTATCAAAAAAAGGATAAGGATAAAGGATTGTTATATATTTGCTTCAAATATATACTAAAATATCTACTACTGTTGAGTCAGAATTCTGATCAGTCTGTTATAGCTGCTTATTATGCCACAGAAAGGAGGGTGAGATCTGGTAGAAATAATATATTTAAAAGGGAAAAGAGGAGGAAAAGAGTTGTTGAACAAAAGATTAACAAAGGTCTTAGGGGTTTGGAACGACATGAGGGTGAGTAATTAAAGACAGAATTTTCATTTTTGGGTGAACTATCCCTTTAAGATAATATGCGACAAGATTAATATATTGTAGTGTTTTTTAAGTGGTTGGATTGCTTTGATTTAGCTTTCAACTTAGTCCCAACAAAACACTTCCTGTAGGTGTTTATAAGTGTTTTACACCCGTGAGGGAATTTTGGCCAGTTTGGACTCTCTCCTTACAAAACCAGTTTAACATTTCTCAGCTTTCCAAAAATAAACTGTACGTTTCATGTCCTGCCAACAGCAATGGGGTGTAAGCCTAGACTTTAATTAGACCATTCCAAAACTATTTTTGCTTATATGTTGCTGATCATTCTGATTAGATCATTTAAACCTTGAAAGTGATTGTAAGCTAGAGATACTAAAGTGAATTGATATGTAACAGTTCAAAGTTCTCTTTTTTTCAGTTGTCAGGTTTGTTTTGCAACTAAGTTTGAGCTCACTTGTAAAAGGAACAAAATATAATTTACTTTAGAAATGTATATTGTTTAGGTAATTTCTATAATAACTGATTAATTAGTTGAATGTTACATTTTCAATCCTGTTCTAGACTCTCAAACTGCAGTATCACTGAAGAAGGTTATACAGCTCTGGCTTCAGCTCTGAGATCAAACCCTTCACACCTGATAGAGCTGGATCTCACAGGAAATGATCCTGGACCATCAGGAGTGAAGCAGCTCAATGATTTACTACTGGATCCAAACTGTCAACTGAAGACACTGAGGTGAAACTTGATGAAATAATACAACAAATATATGATGTGCAGGCTTAGTTTATTTTAACTATACAATAAACTAGAACATTTATTGCATCAAAATGATCAGATCAGATGCTGCATGTTCTGTTGTACTGAAGAAATGTTTTTATGTCAGTTAGTCTTGTAGTCTTAGTCTTCAAAACCAGAAAACTACACTGCAGCATGTTCATGATCGCCAGCGTCTTATGGAAATCAGTGTTGCATGTAAATATCATCCATTACCAGTGACTACTGAGAAGCTAAGAGGCCTTTGTTTACTGCGGAAGCCAGACCGTGAAACCGCAGCCTCGCCTACTGCTGCTACCCGCACAAGGAAGCGCCGGAAGCTGTGTGAGAGAGGATGCAAATGTGGCAAGCATGGAGGCATACGAGCTAGGCTAAAGGCTAACGTCTCGGGTTACTCATGTAACCATGGTTTCCCATTAGGGAGCGAGATGCTGCGTCCCCCTCTTGAGGACACTCTGGGGAATGCTGCCAGCAGGGCCGGTGTCTGAAGCATGTGTAAAACAACTCCAATCCTATTGGTCCATGTAGCCCGTGATTTCATAGGCGGGTACCCGTAAGTATAAAAGGGCACCTGCTGAATATGTTACCAACTCAGTTGTCTGAGGAGACATAAACAGGCAGTCTGAAGACATGGCGAGGGGACGCAGCATCTCGTTCCTTCTCGGGGAACCATGGTTACACGAGTAACCCGAGACGTTAGCCTTTAGCCTAGCTCGTATGCCTCCATGCTTGCCACGTTTGCATCAACACAATAATCCCACAACAGCTCATCAACAAATTAAATCTGCTGAGCCTTAATACCTCCATCTGTAATTGGATCCTGGACTTTTTAACTGGAAGACCTCAGTCAGTCCGTGTCAGCTGCAACACCTCCAGCACAACCACACTGAGCACAGGTGCCCTACAGGGCTGTGTGCTCAGCCCGCTGCTCTTCACGCTGCTGACTTACTACTGCACTGCCAAGTTCAGCTCTTCCCACATCTTCAAGTTTGCAGATGACACAACTGTGGTTGGTCTCATCAGCAACAATGATGAAACACCCTACAGGAAGGAAGTGACGCAAATGGTTGAATGGTGTGGTGCAAACAACCTGTCCCTCAATGTGAATAAGACAAAAGAGGTTGTGATGGACTTCAGGAGACGCTCTGTTGACGACCCCCAATTGACCATCGACAGCTCGACTGTGGAGGGTCAGCAGCACTAAATTCCTGCGGGTGCACATAACAGAAAACTTCACCTGGACCACCAACACTACATCACTTTCCAAGAAGGCACAACATCGGCTCCACTTCCTTAATAATAAATAAATGTGACTGTTAGACTTTGTTTTCAAGTATTTATGTATTTGTGTATTTAAATGTTCAAATAAAAGTTTTACAATAACTACAACTGATTTTAAGAAGAATACAATTTTTTTTTTTTTTTTTTAATCTTAGCAGTTGTAATCCAATCGGCCATTAGTTCCGAACTGAATTGAATCCTGCTTCATCTTCTCGTCTGCAGGTTTTTGAGTCCTGCTGCAGATGATGCCTGTCAGTATGTGACTGGAATTGTGGGTAAAAACCCGTTACTCCTGAGAGAGCTGAATCTGAGTGAACAGAAGCTAGGAGACACACGAGTGAATCAGATTGCTGCTCTACTGCAGGATAAACACTGTAAACTAAACGCACTAATGTGAGTATTGTTAGTGTATTTAAAATGTAACTTTACTTTTAATAATATTACTGTTCTTGATAATATTTCCTCATTTGTTAGTCAGCAGTTTTTTTTCTTAGCTCATATCTACACTCATATCGGTTATCGGGTCCGATACTGTCATTCTTTGCTGGTCTTTTTTAAAAAAAAATTTTTTTAAGTCTTTTAATTTTGTAGTATATATTTATATTTAAATAGTTTTTCATAAATTGATTTTTATAACAATACAAATATCAATTTGTAACATTTTAACAGATTTAGTGCTACACTTTTATTTGATCCCCACTAAATAATGTTTTTTTAATGTCTTTCTCCATGTTACCTGCGTCCAGGTATCGCTGTTTATTTGTCAGCAAAAGTCTGCAAAAAGTCTGGATGACACAAAACACATTAGTTGATCATCATAGATCTGAATCATTGTTTTTTTTCTTCTGTCTTCAGTCTGTGTGATTGCAGTATTACAGAGAAACAGTGTCTCATCCTGACTTCAGCTCTGAAATCAAACCCATCACACTTGAGAGAACTGAACCTGAGCAAGAATAAACTAGGAGACTCTGGAGTGAAAAGCCTCAGTGATCTACTGATGAACACACAATGCAAGCTGGAAAAACTACAGTTAGTATCATTATACTGTACAGCAGTTACAGTGAGATTAAAATTTATTGTTTAGTTTAAGACCGCTGGGTTCATGTCACATCATTTCTAGCGCTGCACTTTCTGGCATTTCTCCATCTGAAGAAAGATTCAGAAATACTATGTTTGTATGTGTATCTGTAGAAACAGCTGAAACTTGCTGACATCTGACATATTTGCTGTGAAACAAAGCAGAAGTGACAACAGACTAAAATCAGTCTAACAAATGACAGTAGATTATTCTAACAGTTAGATTTTCACTAAACTTTTATTAAGGGAAATGTGTATTTAGTATATTTTTATATTTAGCGATTGTAAACCACTCTAAAATGGCTTAAACATATTTGATGATTTTCTTGCATTAAAAATGTGAAAATAGACCATTGAATTTAGTTAATTTTTCTATTGTTACTATATTGATTCTATATATTAATTTACATTGGTAAAATTCACTTATTTGTTGACTGAGGGTGGGTCCAGACTTGGAATTGTAACTTGTATCCTCAAATGCTACCCTCTCGATTTGTTCGTTCATATGTTATAAGTTTCCATGATTTTGCTTATGTGTTAGTGACTGTATGGCGTTTACTTGTGATGTATCAGGGATCTGATTCATTCTGTTCTCGTTCTATCTTCAGTCTGTGTAACTGCAGTATTACAGAGGAAGAGTGTCTCATCCTGACTTCAGCTCTGAAATCAAACCCATCACACCTGAGAGAGCTGAACCTGAGCAGGAATAAACTAGGAGACTCTGGAGTGAAAAACCTCAGTGATCTACTGATGAACCCACAATGCAAGCTGGAAAAACTAAAGTACAATTAAAGTTTATTTATTTGAAGAGAACAGGTCTTAAGTTATATTGTTTATAGCAGTGCACAGGTGTGCACTGTTTTTTTTTTATCTTGCAATTAATTGTTTAATTTCCAGCATTTGATACAATGCACTGATTGTGTATATGCACATATCAGACTTTTATCAGTGGAGTCATTACATATATAGTTAAAAAGAAAGAAAGAAAGAAAAAAAGAGAGAAAGAGTACCTTTAAACATACTGAACTAATATGACTCAAAACAGGCTATTGGAAACTAAATGCTGTAGTTCTCAATAAGATGATCACTATAGACCAATTTCAGTGTTTGCAAACAATGACATTTTTTTGTGGGCGGGGCCTATCTGGTGGCAGAAAATGCCAGGTTTAGTGTAGCAGTCTATGCAAGCCATGGAATAAAAGAATAAAAAAGGTAATTTTGAGTTTATATGTCAAAAATCTGACTTTTTTTCTTGCAATTCCCAGATTATATCTCACAATTTCGGTAAGAAAAATCAACTCGTCATTCTATTTTTTTTTCCCCTCGGCTCAGAATCATGAGTTTATAAACCTATACTTCCGGGTGTTTTTTTTTCCCTCAGAATTGACAAACTCGCAATTGTTGAGTTGAATCAAGTTATAAAGTTCCAACTAAGAGATATAAACTTGCATTTGCAAGAAAAAAAAAGTCAGAATTGTAAGATAAAATAGGTCAATGTTATGTAAAATATTATAGGTTTAAATAGTATTTCATGCTTTAACTGTAGGGCTAATACAATATGTTCCCTGTGTGAATATTATGTAGATATATCGTTTCAATCAAATGTATGCTTTAAAAGTATGGTAATCATAGCAGGTTTCATCAATAGTTTGTCCGTTTAAACATCTGTGTTTTGCTTTAAATGGCATCTTTGATGACAGTATTATATAAAAATTATTTGCATTCCGATTCTGACATCCAAAGGCACAACAATCAATTTTTTCTTTTATTGCATCGATTTTACCCGTTTACCTCAACTTGTTACAAGTGTTTTTCTGCCACCACACTGTGGTTAAAGTGATGGTAACTGTGACGTCTACTCCAAATTGGTCTATAGATTAATTGTTCTTTCTCTTTCTGTCTTCAGTCTGTGTTTATGTAGTATTACAAAGAAACAGTGTCTCATCCTGACTCCAGCTTTGAAATCAAACCCATCACACCTGAGAGAACTGAACCTGAGCCAGAATAAACTAGGAGACTCTGGAGTGAAAAACCTCAGTGATCTACTGATGAACACACAATGCAAGCTGGAAAAACTAAAGTAAGTATCATTATACTGTACAGCTGTTTACTGTTTAGTTTAAGACCGCTGGGTTCATGTCACATCATTTCTAGCGCTGCACTTTCTGGCATTTCTCCATCTGAAGAAAGATTCAGAAATACTATGTTTGTATGTGTATCTGTAGAAACAGCTGAAACTTGCTGACATCTGACATATTTGCTGTGAAACAAAGCAGAAGTGACAACAGACTAAAATCAGTCTAACAAATGACAGTAGATTATTCTGACAGTTAGAATTTCACTGGACTAATGGTACTTTTCACTAAACTTTTATTAAGGGAAATGTGTATTTAGTATATTTGTATATTTAGCGATTGTAAACTACTTTAAAATGGCTTAAAAAATATTTGATTTGATTGATTTGATGATTTTCTTGCATTAAAAATGTGAAAATAGACCATTGAATTTTGTTAATTTTTCTGTTGTTACTATATTGATTCTATATATTAATTTACATTGGTAAAATTCACTTATTTGTTGACTGAGGGTGGGTCCAGACTTGGAATTGTAACTTGTATCCTCAAATGCTACCCTCTCGGTTTGTTCATTCATATGTTATAAGTTTCCATGATTTTGCTTGTGTTAATGACTGTATGGCATTTACTCGTGATGTATCAGGGATCTGATTCATTCTGTTCTCGTTCTATCTTCAGTCTGTGTAACTGCAGTATTACAGAGGAAGAGTGTCTCATCCTGACTTCAGCTCTGAAATCAAACCCATCACACCTGAGAGAGCTGAACCTGAGCAGGAATAAACTAGGAGACTCTGGAGTGAAAAACCTCAGTGATCTACTGATGAACCCACAATGCAAGCTGGAAAAACTAAAGTACAATTAAAGTTTATTTATTTGAAGAGAACAGGTCTTAAGTTATATTGTTTATAGCAGTGCACAGGTGTGCACTGTTTTTTTTTTATCTTGCAATTAATTGTTTAATTTCCAGCATTTGATACAATGCACTGATTGTGTATATGCACATATCAGACTTTTATCAGTGGAGTCATTACATATATAGTTAAAAAGAAAGAAAGAAAAAAGAGAGAAAGAGTACCTTTAAACATACTGAACTAATATGACTCAAAACAGGCTATTGGAAACTAAATGCTGTAGTTCTCAATAAGATGATCACTATAGACCAATTTCAGTGTTTGCAAACAATGACATTTTTTTGTGGGCGGGGCCTATCTGGTGGCAGAAAATGCCAGGTTTAGTGTAGCAGTCTATGCAAGCCATGGAATAAAAGAATAAAAAAGGTAATTTTGAGTTTATATGTCAAAAATCTGACTTTTTTTCTTGCAATTCCCAGATTAAATCTCACAATTTTGGTAAGAAAAATCAACTCGTCATTCTATTTTCTTTCCCCCTCGGCTCAGAATCATGAGTTTATAAACCTATACTTCCGGGTGTTTTTTTTTTTTCTCAGAATTGACAAACTCACAATTGTTGAGTTGAATCAAGTTATAAAGTTCCAACTAAGAGATATAAACTTGCATTTGCAAGGAAAAAAAAGTCAGAATTGGAAGATAAAATAGGTAAATGTTATGTAAAATATTATAGGTTTAAATAGTATTTCATGCTTTAACTGTAGGGCTAATACAATATGTTCCCTGTGTGAATATTATGTAGATATATCGTTTCAATCAAATGTATGCTTTAAAAGTATGGTAATCATAGCAGGTTTCATCAATAGTTTGTCCGTTTAAACATCTGTGTTTTGCTTTAAATGGCATCTTTGATGACAGTATTATATAAAAATTATTTGCATTCCGATTCTGACATCCAAAGGCACAACAATCCATTTTTTCTCTTATTGCATCGATTTTACCCGTTTACCTCAACTTGTTACAAGTGTTTTTCTGCCACCACACTGCGCGCGCAGCTTAAAGTGATGGTAACTGTGACGTCTACTCCAAATTGGTCTATAGATTAATTGTTCTTTCTCTTTCTGTCTTCAGTCTGTGTTTATGTAGTATTACAAAGAAACAGTGTCTCATCCTGACTCCAGCTTTGAAATCAAACCCATCACACCTGAGAGAACTGAACCTGAGCCAGAATAAACTGGGAGACTCTGGAGTGAAAAACCTCAGTGATCTACTGATGAACACACAATGCAAGCTGGAAAAACTAAAGTAAGTATCATTATACTGTACAGCTGTTTACTGTTTAGTTTAAGACCGCTGGGTTCATGTCACATCATTTCTAGCGCTGCACTTTCTGGCATTTCTCCATCTGAAGAAAGATTCAGAAATACTATGTTTGTATGTGTATCTGTAGAAACAGCTGAAACTTGCTGACATCTGACATATTTGCTGTGAAACAAAGCAGAAGTGACAACAGACTAAAATCAGTCTAACAAATGACAGTAGATTATTCTAACAGTTAGATTTATACTGGACTAATGGTACTTTTCACTAAACTTTTATTAAGGGAAATGTGTATTTAGTATATTTGTATATTTAGCGATTGTAAACTACTTTAAAATGGCTTAAAAAATATTTGATTTGATTGATTTGATGATTTTCTTGCATTAGAAATGTGAAAATAGACCATTGAATTTAGTAAATTTTTCTATTGTTACTATATTGATTCTATATATTAATTTACATTGGTAAAATTCACTTATTTGTTGACTGAGGGTGGGTCCAGACTTGGAATTGTAACTTGTATCCTCAAATGCTACCCTCTCGGTTTGTTCATTCATATGTTATAAGTTTCCATGATTTTGCTTGTGTTAATGACTGTATGGCATTTACTCGTGATGTATCAGGGATCTGATTCATTGTCTTTTCTCTTTCTGTCTTCAGTCTGGGTGGATGCAGTATTACAGAGAAACAGTGTCTCATCCTGACTTCAGCTCTGAAATCAAACCCATCACACCTGAGAGAACTGGAGCTCAGTGAGAATAAAATACAAAACACAGGAGTGAATCACTTATGTGACGTACTGAAAGATTCACACTGTATACTGGAGAGACTGAGGTGAGGAACATTCAAATACAAGAATCAAAATACTTAAAATCACTTCAGCGGTTTAAACCAGCACACTTTATACTCAAAATCTCATAATGAGTCCGACTTCACATTATATTTGAACTGTACAAATTTTTTTCACCTTTATATTTTGTGATTTGGTGTAGAGTTGATCAATAATGAACTGATTAACCGTTAACCAACAGCAAAAGTTTTTACCAATTAGTAATATCAGTTAAATGGTTTAAAAAGTCAATTAAGTAATTTAAAAAATAAAATTTTTAATTATTTTAGAAACTTATGTGAGAATAGAGAAAAAATTAGCTTAAAAAACATATTAGGTGAAATGCAGACTGTGATAATGAACAGACTGTATGTTGTGCACAGAGATACTCTTAGATTTATGCCATGGTGTTCTTTTCTGATTTGATCTGTCATTGACTTTGTCCTAAACTAATGTGTTCTGCTATACCATTTACACAATGTGTTTGGTTATGTTTAAGGGGGAGTAACTGAAATAACTTATATTTAATGGTGATCTCATGTAAATCTGTTATTTGTAAAAGGTCACGTGTATTTATTTCCATATTGTATAAAGGCTCATACTGACAGCAAGCATCTGGTAAACTTCACAGGTTTCACTGAAAGAGCGCAAACTCGAGGGAGCAATTCTGTAATTCTGACTAAAATAGTTTATTTTGATTAAGTATTTGTTGTTGACAATTTTAGGTTAAACTTGTAAGTTGCACAATTAATGTTTTTGAGTACAATAACTACAAAGGGATTATAGTATGTATTTGGATTTAGAAATCTGTATAGACATAGATCAGGTGTATTCAATTAAAGTTCCAAGAGGTCCAGTCTCTATATTTCCTTCCCGGCGGAGGTCTAGACAATACGTTTTTGGAGTAGTTATATGTGATGAGATCTAGGAAAACCCAACACATGGTGAAATTTTACCTTTTTTAGATTTTGATACCATATGAAAGCTCGGTTCAAGCCTTGTATCCTCAAATGCTACCCTCTCAATTTGTTCATTCATATGTTATAAGTTTCCATGATTTTGTTTATGTGTTAGTGACTGTATGGAATTTACTCATGATGTATCAGGGATCTGAGTCATTGTCTTTTCTCTTTCTGTCTTCAGTCTGTGTAGATGCAGTATTACAGAGAAACAGTGTCTCATCCTGACTTCAGCTCTGAAATCAAACCCATCACACCTGAGAGAACTGGAGCTCAGTGAGAATAAAATAAAAAACACAGGAGTGAATCACTTATGTGACGTACTGAAAGATTCACACTGTAAACTGGAGACATTGAGGTCAGTAACATTTACATACAAGAATCAAAATGCTTAAAATCACTTCAGTGGTTTAAACCAGCACATTTTATACTCAAAATCTCATAAGGAGTCCGACTTCACATTATATTTGAACTGTACAATTTTTTTTCACCTTTATATTTTGTGATTTGATGTAGGGATGATCATTAATTAATTAATAGTAGGAAAACACAACACATGGTGAAATTTTCCCCATACCCATTTTATTTTGTCCATAGCTTGAACGTAACAAAAGTTATGGCTATCTGAATTTGGCAGATAGCTATGATTTTCAGGAATGGAATTTTGAGAAAAATGGGTTTAACCCCTTAACTGTCACCGTCCCACCTGGCGGACGCTTTGCGCTCTTTTATTTTGTTGTCCTTTTTCTCTATCAAATATTTTCGTAAACATCATAAATTATATATCGTTTGAAAGCTTAGAAGCCCAAGATTCATCCTTTGATGCCCTTAGTGGGTGGTATCAAGTGTCATATTACAAAATGCATAACGGTCTTTTACAATCAATTATAATCTTGACATAAAACATATAATTAGAAAGGTCTGAGTCTCAAGATTCCATATTGGGGGTTATTTTGTGATAGAAGTAATATTGACAGATAAATCAAAACATTTGTGACAGAAAAATGCATCAAAAATGTGGTATAACGCCCTAAATAAAATCTCAAATCAAATCACCACAACACATGTGCCTTAGTGAGTGAAATTATTGGGAGTGTGCTCCAGACAGTGCAGAAACAATTTACATATAAACATACAGACTTCAACAGATGACAATGTGCAATATACACATACATATACTCCGTACACACAGTGTACTATTATATATACTTAGTTAGCACTACACATTATACACAGTATGTACATACTTAGTTAGCAATACACATTGTACACAGTATGTACACATTCTACATTATGTAGACATACAGTGGGTACAGAAAGTATTCAGACCCCTTTAAATTTTTCACTCTGTTATATTGCAGCCATTTGCTAAAATCATTTGTTAATTTTTTTTCCTCATTAATGTACACACAGCACCCCATATTGACAGAAAAACACAGAATTGTTGACATTTTTGCAGATTTATTAAAAAATAAAAACTGAAATATATGCAAAGGTGCAACAGATTATACATGAACTGGATACCCAAAATGTCATGGATGTGCATTGGATGGTATCCAGTGATAGCAGATGGATTACTGTATTAAATGCAGTGTGTATGTATAGTCCAGTATTGAACCGAGTTGGAGTTAAAGTGCAGTGTGTGGCATACCGTATGTGGGAGTATGCTATAGGGTGTATTAGTTCTGACTGTTCATTAGTCTGATAGCCTGGGGGGAAAAGCTATCCCTCAGTCGTCTTGTGTTGGATCGGATGCTGCGGAGAGGTCTTCCTGAGGGCAGCAGAGAGAGCTGTCTGTGGGATGGGTGGCTGGAGTCATTGATGATGCTTCGGGCTTTCCTTATACACCGCCTGGTGTAGATGTCCTGGAGGGAGGGAAGCTCACCTCCAACAATGTGGCGGGCAGTTCGCACGACTCTTTGCAGATCTTTGCGATTGCCAGCGGTACTATTTCCAAACCAGGCAGTGATGCAGCCAGTCAGGATGCTCTCCACAGTGCAGGTGTAGAATGTTCTGAGGATGCTGGGGCTCATTCCCAACTTCCTCAGCCGTCTCAGGAAGAAGAGGTGTTGATGTGCCGCCTTCAGCACTGCAAAAGTGTGTGTGGACCATGTGAGATCCTCATTGATGTGAACGCCGAGGAGCTTAAAGCTGTTTACCTGCTCCACAGGTGTCTTGTCGATGGTGATGGGTGTGTGTTCTCTGCAAACCTCAGTTGTTTTTCATATCAACTTCAAATTTGGAACGTAACTTATTTAGACATAAGGCTTTACTTTTTTTTTTTTACTTTTTTTTTGAAATTTTAGAATAAAACCTGTTATGTAAAATATTTGTTTTATATCAAATCTAATAAAAAATTGTACAGTGCATTTTCTTTACAGTAAATTAACACTAGAACCGCCATGGGGCAAATTTTACCCATTTACTGTTTTTAAAACGTACATAAAAGATTTGTAATAAAGCATTCAAGTCTCCCAGTCACTGACTTTTACTAAAATTGTGTGATTTACTATCCCCTGTTGTCAAAAACTTTTTAGATAAAACCAGATAAAAAAGAGGCATTTACCTAAAAGCGCCAGCACGGGTCAAATTTACCCGCTATATAATGCCTGTATGTTCGCGCTGTCATTTTCGTGCCGCTTATGTTTTAATATAGTACATTAGGCAACGCCTTTCATTCACTGAATTAGCGGTTATCAGTTTAATAAATAAAGACAAAATGAGTAAAGGAAGGCAATTTATGAATGCTGAAGAGGTATAAGAAGCATTAAATGCCATGAGCAATTGAAGTCTGATGGTGGGGAGATAAGTAAAGTGTCCTGTCGGCTCAGCATCTGACAGCGATTAATATATCATATTTAGACGTTTTATCCTAATGTTACTCATAATTAATTGTTCATAATTTTGATTAATTATTTAATTTTTGTTTTGCCATTTCTACTGTTTATTGTTTGCTTCTGTGTTGCTATTTATTCTAGTCTGCCTGTTTCCTGAAGAAGAAAAATCCGATCTGATGTAATAAATAAAATCTTTTTTTTTTTGATTACCCGAAGTTTATTGGCGTTCTTCTTGTTTAATAATGTAAAATTTCTTGTAAAAATTGAATAATGTACTATATACAGTGGGGAAAAAAAGTAGTCAGCCACCAATTGTGCAAGTTCTCCCACTTAAAAAGATGAGAGAGGCCTGTAATTTTC